CGTCCTCTAAGTGAGGCCACTCAGTGCTGAAAAGCCGGGAGGCACTGTACAAATATGTCCCTCTTGTTGAGAGTTACGCATATCAAGAAGCCCGGGGGTTTTGAACCGGTGACCTCCGCCCAGTATTTTGAGCATAGCTGTTCCGTCACGAGCGGATGATAAGCAGTGTGAGTAGCTCGCAATCACACAGAACGTTGTGCAACTCACTACTCAGTCACGGAAGTCGCATGAAGTTGCAGCGTGCTCACGGGCTGCAATGTGTGCATGAGGAGTTTAAAATAGTCGTGTAACTGTAACAAAATATCTACTGACGATCTACTGACCCTATTTTTGTCTCCTCTTGCAGTACATATGTCATTCTTGTTGACAGGTTTTTTAATGATATTTTGCCGCTAAAATTGCTTCTACACTCCGAGCTGCGAACAGTAACGTCTCTGTACGAACGCGGAAGGCACACTTTCAATAAGCCCTCTCTTTCTGTCGTAACACTGCGAGTGAAGCCTATTCATATTAAAAAGCTGAAAATGTTCATACAGCCGCTTCATTCTTGTTGAGAACCCCCAGCAATATGCCTCCCAAGAATTCTAAAAGCAATACAATCTCCTGATTTCCCAGCTGTTGATTATGTGCTATGTTGTTCGGTCACGAGTTGCTGATCAACATTGTAGATAAGTTACATTCAGATCAAGTTTGACTGCACGATGGAAACACCAGTGGCGCCACGTTACGTTTACTTGTAAGTGCACTACATTTTTAGTCGATTGGTGAAGTTTTCATCTATTAACCAAAAGGTTGCTTGTGCCAGTCCCTCTAGAAATTTGTGTGATGCACCCTAGGGATGTTGGAACTCACGCTGGCTTCACTTGCAGAACAAAATACCAACCGAACTTTAAAATCATCTCACCACCTGAGAAAAAGAAACTAACTGGGAACTGTGAACGGTCACATAAACGAACAACAAATGAAATAATCACGCGCAATGGTGTGCGTAGCAATATACTTCCCCTCAAAACCACCTCAGGATGATGGACCAAAGTGGAGCAGATTCTAGGTGGTCCGTAGGTGGAGAAACCCAGAATAACGACCTCTCTTAAATTGGTTTGTAGTGGTTTTAGCCGCCACATTTTCGTTCACTGATGATTTGGGGAGGTGAGTTAGGTAGCTGCGCATTGGAGGCGGGAGCTGATAAATTCGTGCGTAAATACAGCACTGTCAGTGAACTGCTAAATGGGGAAATCAGGAAAGGAGCTATGCGTCGAAGGTAATAGCTTGGATTAACGAGCGGAACAACAGTAAAACACTTCAATGAAGAAGCAAGCTGTTGTAATCATCCGAAAAATTCAGGTTAAAGCACAACGCAGAGGCAAAGCCTCGCACGCTAATCTTACCTGGCACACACAAAAACTGACATTGCGTTTCTCTTCATCTGTCAATCATTTATGACCACAGGTACTAACCTGAACACTAGACAATATCGGCCCGAGACAAAGTGCATCTGTCCGAAGCTGGATTGGCTTAGCTAATGTGGTTCATCCAGACAGTTGGTTGTAAAAATTCGAAATCTTCAACGGCATTGACTCACTCAGCTGCAGGTTAGTGAGTCGGAGTAACTTACGGAGGACTTTGAGTAAAAAGTAATTCATCATTTGGGAACGCGCCGCCTATTTGGGGGTGTCTTTTTGAGCCTCGTGATTCCCCATAGTGTCCCTTTTACGGTTCAGAAGTGTCTTCCTTTCTTATGGAATGTTCAGCGAAAAAACCATTTGGAAATAAATGTGGTTCACCAGACAGTTGGTTGTAAAAATTCGAAATCTTCAACGGCATTGACTCACTCAGCTGCAGGTTAGTGAGTCGGAGTAACTTACGGAGGACTTTGAGTAAAAAGTAATTCATCATTTGGGAACGCGCCACCTATTTGGGGGTGTCTTTTTGAGCCTCGTGATCCCCCATAGTGTCCCTTTTACGGTTCAGAAGTGTCTTCCTTTCTTATGGAATGTTCAGCGAAAAAACCATTTGGAAATAAAATGCATTTAGCTGCGAGATGTTCACTAATAAAGGTTTTATGGCACTACCTTTTCACTGAATATGTAACAACCTTTCTTAGCTCTGTAGGTTCTTTGAGCTGTGTCTTCACCATGCCCCTTTGTAGTGTCGTATGAATGAAAAAATATCTGTGGTTCCGCTGATCAAATTTGGCTTGAAACACCTCTTTGTCTGCGAGGGACGCAAGCCGTTATACAAGTCATAATTGAAATTCACGGCCGTAGATGCTTGAGGAAAACAGGGATCTCACGACTCTTTCTATGCTGCGAAAGTACTTGCTTGACTAGTTCGACATTTTAATGGAGGGGATTTCTCTAGCGATATTCAATCGATCCGGATTACCAAAAACATATGGGACTCAACTCATTCCTCTGTTATTTTGTGGTGTTTGAATCTATCGGCGTCAATTATTTAGCTTATGTCAGCCATTATTTGAGCACAACGTGTTTCAAAAAATGATGTGTCGTTATCAAATTATCTGTATAAAGTACCCAAGTAAATACGAATTTCACACCAGTTACATTTCTCTCATCAATATTCCTGCGCTAAGGTGATCTACACAAATCTCCAATTTACGGTATCTCAGTGAATTTTGGTAAACGGTCCCTCTAGACTCGTCTAATCATGTGTGGGGGAAGTCAAATTCTGGGTAGGTAGAGATGAACATAGGTATGGATTATATCACCTTAACAGGCCGGAGTCTGACAAGATGCACTATGACGCTTCACTGGGATTACGCATAAGGCACACTTTACCGGACAATTCAAATTTGGGCGCCATCTCAATTTCACATACAAAGGATTTCTGTATTCGTTTAATTTCTTCTGTAAGCTTATCGTACGGCGAATTCTCGTCGTAGTTAATGCGAATTCTGCAGCCCACGAACGCCACTCATAGCTTTTACAATATCAAAGTTGATTCGACAGATGTTTCATTCGTATAACTAGAATCAATAATTTTTACTGGTGCTTGTTGATTTTCCGTCACTCGGCAACTTTAGCATCGAATGTCCACAGGGAAGAAACAGCGTTTTTCATTGTTACATAAACAACAACAGTCGATAACCTGAAGTTTGGCTTATGTTGTGATAATCAATCAATTTTCCGGTGACTGAATTTTTCAGAACGACTCAAAACGCCTTAATGTATTGTTGTCACGAAATCATTTATCGTATGCAGTGATGAATATTGATTTACTCCATTCTTTTATTCGAGCGGCTCTACCAAAAATGTGATTTCCAGCTAAAAGGATTAAAAAAGATAGTTGAATTCTGAAAAAATATGGATTGAGGTGGCTAGTGGTCATAAGTGGTGCAAACGAATGACAGCCTTTTGTGAAAAAAGTTCACAACATCGTCAGTTGGAATTAGAGAAGAAGCTTATCCCAGCAATCGCTGCTTGATAACTGCCGTTGACTGTGCGTACTCCTACGAACTTAGAATAGCCGAGACGAGGTAAAAACAATTTTCCTCACTTTGTTGTTACATATGTGAACACTGGTTGGATTTGTCTACAATGAGATAACAAGATTTACAGATATGGAATGACTAAATAATCTGGACTGTAATGATTGTTGTTCTGTTCCGTGAACTAGGTAGTTTAGTGGCAAAAGTTTCATCAGTGGTTGAGATGAGGTCATAAGTGTGTTTTGAGTGGAAGCGTGTTGAGGTTAGAAGGGCGTGTTTGTTGCGTGTGCATGGTTTGAAATGGGGTCTACTCACCGAGATCGACCATGACCAATGATTGATTGGCCTGCAGGTTGAACCGTCTTCCTATTGGTAGTTCGCTTGCCTCCAGAATGATTCCCGTTTCTTGGTCCCTTTGTCTGATGGTCAAGGCTGGCTAAGTATTACCACTGAGCTGGCGGTCTCCCTCAATTTCGGTGTGTTGGTTGACTGAATCCTATGAGGAGTTCCATGCTCAAATGTATTGTACTTCCGCAAGCTACGGTCGTCCATTTGTCTAGATTAAACTTGTCCTTCCTGATTTTCATATGCGAAAGTAAGGTGTGATAGGTAGTGTCTCTTGAAAGCTGCCTTGTGTTGGTTTGCGCGACCCGTCTAAACTACTGTTTGTTATAAACCCTGGGCTGCATGTGGGTTTTCAAACTATGCCGGATCCAGTGCCACTTCGGTGATAAGCTGACTATTACTGGGCTTAGCAGCAGGTTCCATTTGACAGTGAGCACAATTTTGGACATTACTCATGTACTGGGCTTAGTCTTCCATCTTTCAGCTTATTCTGACGGGCAACAGTGTGGCGGTGGAATGCTACACTCTACTTGCGACTTCGAATGATGTGCGTTTTTTACTGTTTGTTGTAATCCAGGCCTCATACCTCCCGCTTTGTTGGCTATTTCTTTGGACAGTTGAAAGATACCAGTGTTTTTTTCGGTAATTTCGTTCACCCCATCCACTCCAATTCCTGTTCTGGCCAAACTTCCTTTTTTCATTTTATCGTTAGTCTTTTCCAACCAAAGACTCCCCCCGGCTCGTTATTTATGTTTTTACACCATGCATTACCAGTTCTCCGGACGCCATGCAGAGGTTGCTTACACATTCTTGAGGAAATCCTTAGCTTTCCCAACCTGAGTGATGGCTTACAATGGTGTGATTTCAAGTTCTGCTTCTTAATGTATGGGATTTGGACTCACCGAATCTGTTTACTAGGCAAGTCTATAGGTATTCTTTAGAATCATCACTATATCAAGGTATGAAAATCAGCTGGAAAAAGCATCCTTTTCTGAGGAAAACTCAATTATTTGGAGTTGATTGACACACTGAAAATTGTTTGCACCTGAACAGTAATGAATCTCCAGGCCTGGTTCCCACATTTCAAGGGTACACTACTGCTACCAACAGCTAACAAATTTTGGATTACTCATTAGTAGTAAAACGTCTGAGCAATTTAACTCAAATTTGCACAGACATCAATCCTATTTCTTATTATTCTTTCCAGATTGAGCACCGACCAAGTCGATCCAACACATCAAACGTATGAAAGAACCAGCTCTTCTTCGTGCCCAAAACTATACATAATCGGTTGAGACCCACGCGGGGATTGCCAGTGAAAACTGCCTAGTGTGGGTTGAAGCGACGGCTGGATTGATCCGACTTTCAACTACAAATTCAGGCCAGGATTTTTCCACAGTCTGTCTCACATTGTCGGCGCCCAGGACCATTCAAACCTGTCAAGCTCCTGTGTATATTTGACAATCAAACCCCACCTCCTCCACCCTAGTTGCAACTTGCTCAAATCATCTAGTTCAACCACACTGGACATGACGGTGCACCTAGAGTAGGACGACAGTATCAATTGGGGGTTGTGATCGGCATGCTTCAGTGTGTTTTAGGCTCATCCGTTGTGGCTAGTACTGAGCAATAAGGCAACTGTAACTGCTCGTTTTTGTGCTTTCGAATGTACCATGAATGTAGATAGCGTGCTGTTCACCAACATTAAACTGTTTATAATGGAATCGTGTTTTGTCATGACCTGATAACTGAACGGTAGAAAGTGCAATGTATCAAACTATTTACGTCCTCCAGGAAAATATCAAAAATTCATGAAAATATTCAACTGGCCATCTTGGAACTGGTTTTAATGCCATTCTAGTGAAGTGGTCCTTTATGTCTAATGACAATGTTCTAACTAGTGCAGTGAGGAGAAACGCAAATACCGTGCTGAGTGCAAATTCATGCGCACTTACTCAAAACATTTTGGCGTTGAATACTATAAATTCTGTGATGACCGTCACGGAGGTTATCGTGCACCATTCTCTGCTCTCATGACCTGTAACTGAACGGTAGAAAGTGCACTGTATCAAACTATTTACGTCCTCCAGGAAAATATCAAAAATTCATGAAAATATTCAACTGGCCATCTTGGAAATGGTTTTAATGCCATTCTAGTGAAGTGGTCCTTTATGTCTAATGACAATGTTCTAACTAGTGCAGTGAGGAGAAACGCAAATACCGTGCTGAGTGCAAATTCATGCGCACTTACTCAAAACATTTTGGCGTTGAATACTATAAATTCTGTGATGACCGTCACGGAGGTTATCGTGCACCATTCTCTGCTCATATAGACATTCACGGTTCCACCCACAACAGTTGAATCTCGACCACGGCAACCCGTAACGTGTCATATCTTGCGAGTTCCTGGCTACTTACAAGGAGAAGCATAAAAGCTCCACGCCACAGTGTCCTGTTTCACAGTAGGCCCGGACGTTTCGCTTCGCAGCATCCTACTCCGTTTCATAGGAAAATATAAAGAATTGTGCTTTTTCGGGGTGCATTAATTTTTAGATAGCAGATGAACGCATATATTGTATGTCCTACCGAATTCGGCTGATGAACTCGGCTTCTGTTTTGATGAACCTGATTAATTTTTCAGCAATTAGTTTCAAGCAGGACAGTGCCAGCTTTGGTGCGCTTTGCAACGAAATCATCACGATTAGCTGTTTGAAGAGCGTGAGACCCCTAATTAGGATTCCCATTTCGCACCCATAACGGCGGATTGTAACCCCACCAGAAAAAAGTCGGTTAAAATCCATGGTCGTTTGTCTTGAGGTCTCCGTATGTTTTTATGCAATGACGTACGATTAACAGTTAGGTGCTCGACTCCATGGTCGTTGTCTTGAGGTCCCCCGAAGGTTTTATGCAATGACGTACGATTAACAGTTAGGTGCTCGACTATTCTGCTGAAGAACAAGTGTTTTAAGTTAAAGGATTGAACTGTAAAATGACGTGAGAAACTGTGTGGTCCGTTCAAAACTTCCTCATAACTGTAACTTATCAGGCAGTGTTGGTTCTGATACGAAAGGTTTATATGGCTTAAATCTTTACGTCTAGATCTCTACGCAATTTTCAGGCAGAGGAGGCATATATCCCGATAGGTCGTGTCATTACACAGCAATGCAGATATCTTCACCCCGTTGCCCCTTGAGTCAATTCTTCATACAAAGTCTTAAAAAACTCTCTTTCAGCTACCATTTCACACACCCCTTGCAAGTAGGTGATCTCAACACCTCAAAGCCTCCCGGATGGAACTCCAGCGCCTCATGTTTAGCGGACATTTTTGCAGCGGCAACGACTAAAATGGTTTGGCAGAGCGCTTGGACTCAAAATGTCGTAGCATTCATCACACTCCCTGCAGGCCAAATAGCATCCCTCCTGAACTTTGTCATCACCAAGAAGACACTTCATTGATCAGGTGAGAATTAACGCTCCACTAAGTCATGGTGATCACTGTGTGCTAACCTTTGATTTCATCTGCTACTGTGCCAGAAATCCCAAACCTCAAACGCGGACTCGAAACTTCTGCTGTGCAGAAGTATTAGGAATGCGCACTGTTTTTGGCCAGTTTACACTGGGACAAGCCTCAGTGGAATAGCTATACAGAACCATTGTCTAGAAACTTCACGAGATTCACTTGATGTTTATCAAAAAACGCAAGCTACCTTAATTGATTGTTTTTCTTAAAATGGGAATGGGAAGCTAGTTCACTCGTTGGTTAGGTACGGTAACGATGGTTTCTATGGTCCGTTGCGCCAAATCGCACGCGTATGCTCACCGCCCTTCCGGTGGCATGGGTGATTAACCTTACGTCGCGGCTCTGAGACAAGCGTTTGTACGCGGTAATCGAACAATAAAAAGTGTTGTTGCTGTATACCTGTATCGCAAGCTTAAGCCAGTCCTTAAGCCCCCCATGAATTTCTAAAACGAAATCCAAGAAAGAACCCGTAAAACCTAACACAACAGCGTCAATTTCTGTTACATGTACCAGCTAAAGGGTTGAAAAAATTGCTTACGGGAAAAGCATTCACTTTTCTAGTCCGCGTCGCACCGAGAACATCTCACTTTTTAACTCCGGGCAGTAACCAAATCTGTTTCCGTGGAATGATTTAAACCACTCACTTCTCTTGACTCACCCGTCTCCCAGAAATATGTTGAATATATGTGTGCCGTATTCAGCGTCACACAGCCGTCTATTTACTCATTGTAGATACTGCTGTTCAAAGTAGCACTCAAGGGGCAGTTTTCCCCAACATTGCTCCTCCATGTTCTAAGTAGGCACCACTGAACCGTTCCGGTTGCCGCCGTTGACAGCTTTTTAGACTAGACCAAACTAGACTGGGGACGTTTCTTGTCTTTGTGCTGAGAGTGTGTCGACATGCCGCTCAATTGTTGACTTCCAGTATTTGGTGTTGTTGCTGCAACAAATGGTGATCGTTGCCGTTTCTGAATTTTCCCGTCTAAGCCATAAGATAATTGTCATATTCCATTGTGCTCTTCCAACCCCCTTGTTTTTCCATTCTACCTGTGGGCGTTCCTTTTCCTACACTGGGTGGAAATATTACTTTGCCCGCCAAGTGAGCCACTCACCCGGTGGATACAAGCACATGTTGCCGTATACTGGCCCCGTTTCTCCATAACTCCTGGCCAACCCCAACGACCTCAAATGAATTCAATTTCCCGAACTGCTAGGTTGCCAAACACGGTACATCGATCTACTCGTAGTTCAACAAAATTTTGCTCATCTCCTCTGCACTTGCTGATCCAAGCGTCCGACCCGTGCACACGAAAACACTCCAAGTTGATCCTGCCACTGCTGTATGTCCAAGCAGCTGAGCACACTTTATAAGTCCACTTCATTAGCTATTCCGATACATCACCGACCCATTCTGTCAATCGCCGCACTCTTTTTAAATCTAGTTCTGTGCAGATAAGGCACTTTTCTGTCCCAATAAATCAAAACGAACAAGTGCGCTCCACTAACCCAGGGTGAAATGCTTCCTCAATTTTTAAACGATTTGCATTCCTGAGAAGAAGCCAGTCATTCTCTCCACTAGCACAAAATGTGGGTCTTCATACTCATTTTGCCGTCCAAAGCTTAGTCTATCGCGACAAATGATAAGGTCAGCCGATTCCTAAAACGGGTAATACTCTAGTTTGAAACTGCAAAGTGTCGTTTTTGATTTTTTCACCCCAGGTCCGTCATCACAGTGTCAATGTTTCATCCATAACAACTGCTTGCTGTGCCACCAGAAAGTGACTAGCGATCATTATGCTGTTGTATCTATTGTACCACCACGACCATACCTAAGTTTACCACCCACGGTTTTGGGATGAAGGTGGTAATAATAATGTTTATTTTCAAAGAATGGCAGCATGCTATCGTGCATGACCATAATTTTACAGTCAGAATGAAAGCCTGACTGGCTGGGTTTGTGGGAAAGGGGGCGCGGAAAACGGACGGTATCCAATGCAAACGTTAGGATCTGGAGGTGGCGGGAAGAGACAAAACAAGGAAGGGCAAAACAACAGGTATCTTGCCTGACACGACAAGAAAACTGCAAATTAAGGAAGATAAGCACCCAGAACCGGGTTGGACCAGTCCAGTCGGTCAGTTTGAACTATTATTAAATCATAGAACCACCATTGAGGCCTCGTAGCCTTGGACTGTCAGAGTCATGGCCATCGTCATAAAAAGCGTAAGTGAGGATGACGAAGTGGAGCGATTGGCAATATGGATAAATAGTATCGAAAAGCTGGGGTGAGGTGCACAACCCTCGACAACCAACGGCAGGCTATGCGTGTATGGCCCATTTTCGTTGAGGTACAACCAGCAGGTCGTAAGATAAAAAACAAATCGAGGGTCACTGCGGCGCAGAAGCTGTGGATCTTGCCGGCGCCTATGCGTTTGTAATACGGTAAACACAAAACCCCATTTTCTACGCGAGCCACGCGGTGGAGTATGCCACGGCTGTTTGCAGGATGTCTATGACTAAAAATACATGGATATTAACTGCTACATACGCGCTTCCTGATGGCTTTTTGGATATGAAAACAGCTAAGCATCATGCCGCAGCTGAACACGACGCTTGCGGTACGCATGTGNACGCATGTGCCCGCCAACTTGTCCGTAACAACAACAGCAGCAACATCATCTGCTGCCATCGGTAGAAGCATATTTGGCCGTGGTGGCCATTCTCTAACTGCCGCACAAGCACGCGTCCGGTCTCCATAAGTTTTACCAGGGCCGAAGGCAAGGTATCTGCTACAATAAAACCCAAATATGCGTCGCCAGCTCAGCAGAGCCGGTTGACACTCCCAGCGGTAGCTGTATATATCCTGAGTGGTAAAGATCTTGCCGAATTCATCGGCCACAAACTGACGCACCTCGCATTACGGCATTCTGTGTTTCAGAAGAGCCTTGCAGAAGCCCAACCCGTCTTTAGTTAGCAGTCGAATAGATGGAAGCTGATCGTACGAAAACTTTGACAACTTATAGTTGTATTCAGGAAAACAAGAGGCGATTGTCAATTGGTTCCTTTGCCCCCGTAGACAAAACCACACTGAACAGCCGGTGCTTACCGCACTGTTTTCATTAGCCAGTGCGCTCAGCCTACCACTTTTTTCGGATTTCCCGAATTTCCGTTGGTCTTGAATGTCGCCTGCCGCATCTGTGGTAATCC